AAAAATGATCTTTCCACATCAAGCCCAAAAAAAAAAAAAAATCCTATATGTATGCTTGGCTTACATCAAGAAATTGGGCATGACACAAAGCCATAGAATTTTATGATGATAATGGTGATCAAAATTGATGCACTAGCTCTGGCATCATAATTCTTGGTCTTGTTTGATTGCTTATTCCAGCAATAGGAAACGCTGGTCTCATCTCCAAGAAAATATTAGGAGATATTGGTCTTTTTCTATGAAGGCCTTATCTACTAATATCAGGTTTAGTGCCAACATTAAAACCTCAAGGTTACACACACAACTCGATTTTTATGTAATTTTTTGAATTAAGAGTGTTAATGTTAAGGAATAGAGCTTAACTCCTCCAAGTCAACTAGTTAACCACTTTTACACCACAAAAACTAGTCAACCACTAGCCAATAATTCAGCAAGCAATGGTCCTTTGACGAAGAGAGCTTCCAACATTTTAAATTTTTACAAAATAGCAGATTACATCATTTGCTTAGCTTCACTGGAGGACCACCTCTATAAAACATACATCACTTACAAATAGGTACCCTTTTCTCTTTCTGAAATAAAGCCAGTTATTATTATTTTTGCCCTCCTAAATATAGGGTGTCTGAGATACCTTGCCAACAAGGGAAAAAAAAAATAGAAAATGATAAATTTCTATTCAAGTCAGAAATAAACTCTCTGGAAAAGGCTTTAACTGATTTGAATCAACTATCTAATTGAATAATATATATATACTGTGAAGTTCCATATCCATGAGTTAAGGAGAAACCTGTGGACCTAAGTAAAATGTGAACTACTGCACCTATTGCCAAATGGTTTTGGGTTGGATATTGACACAGTACCTGTGAAATAAACAAGTGGGCCTGAATACAACACAGGCATCTAATGTAAAACCAATAGGCCATAGTTGAAGTAGCACATACGATACTTTAGCACACAAATTTCTCTCTTCATTTTTTGATATGGGACTTTTAATCACTTAACACGCCCCCATGTGCAAAACTCCCATATCTTTTTTGGTTGGACCAAGCCAACCAGCAATTTCCGACAAGTCTTTCTGCTTAGAGCAAGAAGCGGAATTACAAGAAAGCAGGCCCACATGGACTCACAACTAAAGCCCATCAGCCCCTGCAACAACCACCTTTTGGGTAGCATGCACAACAACACAACTCCTACAGCAACCACCTATAGGTTCTATGCACAACAATGGGTCAGGCATACAAAGAATTAAATAAACAAGTGGGCCTAAACAACATGGGCATCCAACCGATAAAACCAACTGGCCATAGCATACCATATAGCAAACAAGTTCTCTCTTTTGTTTTAATGTGGGGCATTTAATCACCCAGGGGACTGTTAGCCTTTTTAGTGTTGCAGGCCCAGTTGTGAGCACCCAAGGGAGGTTGCTGCAACCCTGTTTAGTGTGTGACCCATAGGGTTGTTGCTAGAGAAGTTGACGGGCTTAGCAACCATTATTGTGAGTCCATGTGAGAGTCAATGTAGAAGTGTTTAAAGGGAAAAGGGAAAATTAAAGGGAAAACTAAAGGGAAAAGGGAAAATTAAAGGGAAAACTAAAGGGAAAAGGGAAAAATTCCATATCAGTGCGTTAAGGAGAAACCTGTGGACTTAAATATAATGTGAACTATTAATGTAATTGCACCAGACCCGAAGTCCTATTCCACCTATTACCAATTGGTTTTAAGGTTGGACATTTCATACATAAATGAATACTTTAATTTTAATTGACTTGTAAGTAAATCTAAGTAGTCATATTTTTCAATATTTTCACGTTTTCATCTTATTCTTATGACAAGATTAAGATGTCACTCTTCAACCTTAACTGGACCTCTAACCCATGAACCATTTGAATGCAAAATTGAATAATCCAGGTTTCAAAATATTGGGACTGTTATGAAATCTCAACAAAAGGAAAACACATATGGACAAACCTTTCCAGTTGAAACATCTTTCCCTGGTTCTGATTCTGCCTCCTCACCCTGCCATTCATAAATTGATACCCCTTTATATGAATCACAATCACAGAATGCTTTAATCTAAAGAAAATACAAGTTTACATGTTCCCTACAAATTCACTAAAGATGCCATCTGAGTGGTCAAAAAAAATTCCACACCTGTAGATGCCATATTAGAATATGGGCAAATAAGTCACTTCTTTGAGCTGCTCTAAGCAGATATCCTTCCACTAACCTCTGCAAAATAAGGAAACCATAAATACAACTAGGAAACATATTTGGTCCAAAACTCTAGCAAGAAGGGACAAGATGGATCAGACCAATCCTCAACCCTGATGATCGAAAGCTAATACAATTAATCATCTGGAGTTATACTATCAAATTACACCATGCTAAGCAGCTTAAACATAATTCTATAGGTAGAACAAAGGTGATAAGAAACAAGAAGAAGCTATTGAATAGTTATTTTGAGTATTTAGGATTCTTAAGTAATTATTTTTATTCAATGCTAGTTATCATTAGTTTTCTTATTTTTATTAGGATTAGGTCTTTTATTAAGAGTTTTAGAAATCTTACTATTTTTATTTATCAAGAGTCAAAGTCCTAGTTGAATTAGAAATTTTAAATTATAGTTCTAATTATAAAAGGTGTTCTAGTAGGAGTCTTAGTAGTTTATGTTAAGTGGTAAAATCTCACATTGAAGCATAATAACATGTGTGACTTAAATACAAGGAGAACTACTCCAATTGCCAATTGATTTTAGGTTAGATACAAGCCTAGTGTTGAAGCCCACATGCCCAAATTTCACATGGTATCAAAGCTCAAGCTCCGTTCCTAGGCCCATTTTTAGTCCACCTGACAAGACCTAAAGGGCTTATTAAGCCACGTGACAGGATTCAACATCAAAACATAATAAGAAACATGTGTGACTTAAATACGAGGAGGGCTACTCTACCTATTGTTAAGCCTTATGTTGAAGCCCACATGCCCAATTTTCACAATTTATATATAAATATGCTTGTAACTTCTTTTTATTAGTAGTTAATCGAATAATCCAAAGCTTGTAGCAAGAGCAACCTAGGTGTGACTCCTAGGATTTTTTATCTTTCCCGTTATTCTTTTTGTTTTTTATTCTGCTTTTTCTACCCTAAACAGTCACTTTCACTGTTCAAGCCACCATACCCTCTAACTTGTCCCACATCAAAAGGTAAGATCAAATGTAAATTACTAAATTTCCTCACAACATAAATGTTTCATTTCCTTGTAATCCTTGCTTTGTCTGAGGCATGGATCATGTTAATCATTAAGAAGAAATTAGAAAAGATATGCCATGTTGATGTTGAGGCTGGCTTAAATGGATCAGCAAATTTTTTCCCCAACTTAAGCAACAGTGAATTAGATTTGAATAAATCTAGCCCCAATATAAATGCCCAAGATCAAGCATTTATCAATGATATATCCAGGATCAAATTTACTGGTGTTGCCCATGAAATAATACACAAAATATAACATTAGAAACAAAAACCTGAAGCAGAAAAGGAAGAATCCATGGAAGAATAATTTATATTTTATAGGCTTCTTATTCAATGATGGATAGTTAGGTATTAGTTTGCAATTTCAAGAAAAATATGTAAGTCTAGGTATCATCATTTTCCTATTTTCTATTAAGAATTGCTAGAATCAACTTAGCTTGGAAAGTCTTTTATTAGAGTTATTAGTAAATAAAATTTGATTTTATTATCAAATCTTTAGGAATCCTAAATCAACAAGAATTTCCCCTGGATTATCCAGTAGGTTGTCAGTTTATGAAATCATGGGGTTATTTAGAAAACATTTTGGTTCTATTGGTTCTTGATCTTTTCCTTCTCTCTTCTCTAGAACAGTAATTTGAATTACTTAGCAACCTTATTCTGCTACCAGTTTCTATTCAACCCTAAATTCATCCCTAATCTCTAATTCCTCCTTCACAAGAGATTGTAGACATTTTCAAAGCTGTCCTACTACACGAGAACCATATCTTCATTGATAACTCACCTCATTGTCATAACGCAGAGCTTGCACAAGCTGTGGCATGAAGAAGGTTACACGTTCAGGAGGATAGGATTCCAAAACCCTCAGAACATAAGCCATGACACGTGGATGCCCCTTATATGCTGGAGTAAGAAATTCAAGGGCTTGTGTGATTGAACATGCAGCCCAGTGAGGTAGTTGTTGCAGAAGTGCTGAGTTTTCATCAACTGCCTTGGGGGTGACAAAATATGGCAATGCCTCAGGTATACAGTGGATGTGCAATATGTTTGACTGCAAGAAAATGACAATAAGAAAGCACATCAACCAAGATAATGATGTATTATCAAATTAAAACTCCTTTTAAGCACTGGTTATTAATGGGAAAACAATGGAAAATGAACCATGCATGGTGGATCTAGAGTTTCATTCTGAAATGGTTTAGCTGTTAAAATGACTTTGCAAAGACTTAGCTTCATTCTTTGCTATAATATTCCAACTGGAAAGGATAAGTAAAGTATACCTGAACAAGCTGAGTTAGTTCAGCCTTCAAATAAGAATTCGTTGGGAATCTTGAGGCCAAGGACAAAGAGATCCGGGGATCAACTGCAAAGGCAGTCCTACTATATTCTATCCATTTCTCTGAGCTAATTTTAGGGCGAGAAGACACACTTTCCCTGAGTATAAATATAAAAACAAACACGAAACAAGTTACATCATCAAAACTTCTGTACAACAATGAGATTCAAAAAAGAGGAACAAAATGAATGCTATGCGTAATTAATTGTTAGAAAATGAGGATTACTTTGAGTTAGTAGGTTGTGCCCAGACTTCAAGTCTATCCGCTTCATGCTGGCATAGCATTATAAGTAGCTGCTTCCGTTTTTCTCTACCCAAAGCATAGTTGTCCATCTGGCCCCAGACAGGGTGATAGTGATCATTCTACAAAATGTTAATGTAGATTTATTATCAATGCACAATCACGCGATTCATTAGATAACAGAAATTAAATAGTAGAAACATATAACTACCATAATTGAGATAATAGTAGCCACTAGCAAGAAATTTTATTTTCTTTTAAGTAAAATTAATTACCGAGTCAACCAAGGAACTCCCATTCTCACGTGGACATCCGTTTGAATCATAATAAAGTGAGTCTACCATCTCATTTGAGAGAAAGTGAACAAAAACAGAGACAGACTGAGCCTCACTTTGAGCAAAATTCATACTGTTCATTTCAATCCATTCAGGCTCATAAGCAAACCAGCCCAAAGAAGCCCTGTAAGATGGATCAAATACAACTTACTAGTCATTACTAATTAGGAATAATACCTAATCAGAAATTGAACAAGGACATTACACAAGCTCTTTCTGGTGAAATATAAAACAAATATGACTGATCTGGCACAAGAAACAAAGTCCTAGCCTTGATTAATTAAATAGAATTAATAACTATCACTCAATATGAAAGTACTCAGATTCTCTTGAACATAATTACTTCCAGCATCTGCACTCAAATATTTCAAGTCTCGACACTCAACAGTCAAAAATGGACATTCAGTAATTATGTGTTAAAAATGAACAGATTTTAAGCTTCCAGGAGGATGACCACATGATGAGATGCCAGAGCTATGCAAATTCATCTGGATTCCTAATCTCATGGCAGATTCATGTTATCAACCACAATTTTCAACTCTTAAACTCAGCTCAGAACAAAATGACTATTAATGGTCGACAATCTGAACGCATGTGCATTAGACAGGGTCTTAACTTCAAAATCACGTAAATGCAGCTAAAATAAAATAATGGAAGAAGCGTAAAGACAAAATAGAAAATAAGAACTTTAGGTTTTTAGCAAGTGTTGTAAAGCAATTATTGGAATAATATTTTCAGACTGAGCAGGCAGAGACGCTAAGAAATAATGTGTTGTCACATGGCACTGGCACAAGCACAAGCGATAAGTTGAAAAGAAATGTCCACTAAAACTGAATGAGTAAAAATACATGGAAAGTCACCTGTAGATTCGATCTTCCAACAGCTGAAGCCCTGTTCTGAAATTCTGCAAATTGCCTTGGGATTGGCAAGAGCAGAACTTAAGTCCAAGAAGCATAAAGGTGAAAAATGTACCAGTGGCTGCAGGATGATGTGAAAAGTTCCAGGGTAGTCTTGTTGTTCCTTGTAACATCCGACCAAGTAGCAAGAGTTGTTCAACACTATTGTGTCGAACTACCTATGCAACGAAAACTAGATTGAGATGTGGAACAACTTAAAATTTTGTAGTCATTCAGTTGGAATACACACACGCAAGAGTGCATGTGCATGCATGCCTGTCAAGAAAAATTGCAGACATAATCTGGTTCCTTTTCTACGTTAGTTATTCACCTTCACCAGGTAAATTTTGAAGAGTTCCCTGACCAATCATTACATCTGTACCCATGTGTATTAAAAAATTTTCAAGCAATTACAAGTTATTTACAAAGATAACTATTTTTACCTAATTTAAGAGGAAATAGTCAAAGTAATCCCAGAAGGGAATAAATTTGGTCTGATAAAATAGCAAAACAAAATCCCAATTGAGGTAGTTTAGTCCAATTTAACATCAAATATTTATGTCTCCATCAAGTGTTACAAGATATATCAAGTAATATGAATACCTTATGCTGAATAAAGAGTTAATGGTAACAATCTGTTTAAGTGTTTAAATAATTCGTTTCAAATATTTAAGAATTCCAGTTTCTATCTAGCTTTTTAAGTAATTTTCATTTTCGTTTTAAATGGCTGAACAGCTAACCAATCGTTAGCATAAGAATTACCAGAACCTGGAGACAGTGTATCAGATTAATTGTCTCATAACACTGCTGAGTCATCTAAGCTATTTGCTACTGTGAGCCTATATGCTACTATGTCATTTAAGCTATTTGCTCTTCATCAACTTGTCTTGCTACATTTAAGGATGGAGTACCCCTTGTACTCTACCTTAATAAATTTTATTTACCAAAAGAAAAAAAAGTCTCATAACACCATTCTAGGTCACAAAGAAATCCTCATGACCAGCAACAGTCTGATTGAGAGACTATGATGTAGACAAAGAGAAGCATGACTAGAAAGCTAAGACAACAGTCTCCTCTATTCTTCAAGAATATTAAAATTACTTAACTAACTTCAATTGCAAGGATAAAACTTCATATCTAATAACTATGACTACAAGAGGTGTAATGACATAAAAAATAAAAAAAAAAGTACAACTATGCTGGAGGTCTTAGATGGAAAGAAGCTCATATATAAGCACATGCTTTCAAATATGATAGTGGAATGAAAATAAAGAACTAAATAGAAACTTAGGAGTAAATTAAAGTTAGTTGCATGGTCTTATCATGAAGCATTGTCCCAAATCAGATAACTTATCAAATAAGAGCAACGCCCAAATAACAAGACATAAACACTCCAACAATTAGAGCTATTAATGATTTATACATCCATTAAAGTGCATATGGTGTATAAACAATAAGCACAAACAAAAGCATAATTCCTTACCTCAAAGCGATCAATAAAAAACCCTAGCCACAATCTATGAGCCATTATCTGTTCAACAGGATCAATATTAGGTGGCATCTCTGGTTCCCCAGGGGACAAGTGTGGCCTTAATTTTGCTGCAGGTCCAGAGCACTTCACATCAGATGCAAAGAGACCTCGCTTTGTATCAATTGTCCATAACCATGCATCAACAAGCTCAGCAAGGACAAGAGACCCAAGTTGTGGTGCAGCAGAAACCAGCCAAGTCCAAATGAAAACACCAGTCTCCATTGCATCAGGTGTAGATATATAGGCTGGACACCAGCAAAGAAGCCGTAGAAGTTGTGAAAAGCACTCTATATTTGCTTTTGTATCAGAAGCCTGTCAAGGAAGCCAACCATTCAGAAGAAAGACCAATGGCTAACAATACGGTTCAGCAGTAAAATGTGCACATATTACTAATTAATCTATTAACAATCAATCTTTCATCACTTTTAGTTAGAAATTTTATTTTCTCCTAAACTAGTCCGGTAACTTCAAAAATTGTATCAATATGGTCTACTTATAACTTTTCCATTAGTGAATGGTTAGTTTGACTAACAGAAATTCACATCCACACCATGGCACCACACAACATGACACAAACACCACATGGACAAAGGGGGAAAAGGCAAAAAGGGAAAAACTCCTGCCTTTTTCCCCCTTTTTAAGTACAGTTTAGGGTTCATGGTAAGGTGAGAAATTTTACGTTTTTCTATCCACATGACACTTACAAGGCAGATAATGTTGTGCTGCAAGCGCTGATGTGGATTTCTGTTAGTTAAAATGACAGAAAAGTGATGGGTAGACCATATTGATATGATTTTTTAAGTTACTAGTTTATTTTGGGAGAAAATGAACTTCCTGGACTAAAGTGATAAAAGGTCATAAGTTACTAAACTAATTATTAAATTTAGCCAATTAAATAATTAGCTATACCAGATTTGATATGAGCAGTGCAGTTGCCTGAGAACAAGTTTCACGAAACTGCGACTTATCCACTTCTCCACCTTTCTCTGCAGTGTTAACAAACTGTTGAAGGAGATGCACAAACTTGGAAAGTAGAATCCCATTAAAAGAATCATCATCAGTTTGTGGAACTTGAGAAAATGCTCCAGAGATCAACCTTTGAAGACCACCTCCAAAACCTGTTTGTGCAGCACCAGGCTGAAGCCCACCAATGCTGTTATACAGCCTTCTCATGCCAGCAATTTCTCCAGCATGGTTGCACTTAACTGTAGCACTGACTACCCCTGTCCTGAGGACCTCAAAATTGAATGCTTCTAGTACTTTTAAATTTGCCCCTGATGCTGCAGCTGCTGCAGCCATGACTGCAGGAATATTTGCTGTACGTACACCAGACCAGCAATCATTTTTACCAGTACCAATCCTTATCTCAGTTAGAAGAGAGACCACATCAGTTGTATGCTGTGCCTTCTGCCATGTGTTTGCTTTACAAAGCTTTTCCTGAAGTATAAATGTGGAACCACAATACAAGTAAACAAAAATGGTCAAGAAAATAGAAGAAAACTACGGCTTGTTTGATATCACTTCAGTTTTCCAGCTTTGTTTCTCAATAAAGAAAAATGAATAGAAGAATTAAGTATGTTTAGGTTTCATAAAGAATCAAAATCAACAATTGATCCTTAGGGAACCCAGCTAAAACTCATCTAGATCGAATCTTCACAATCCACAAAGAGACATACAAGCCAAATCAAACCAAATTAGAGTCAATGCAGGTTCATCCCAACGAAGCCTAACTGACATAACCTAACCAGAAGCAAAGAATCCAAACCAACCAGAACAAATAAAAATACTATTGAACTAGTTTTGTAATATATATAGAGAACTGTGGGTGACCTCTAAAAAATTAGGAGGAAAAACACTCCATAACTATGTCGTTTCAATAATTTCTCATTGAAAAAGACTAAAATAACCTATTTTTAAAGCAAGCATGAGACTGTTTTGGCCTTTTCCCATGGTGCTTTATGAAAACAACTTAGTTTTGGGTGTTTTTCTTCCTCATTATTTAGACGTCTGGTTGACAAATACTAATTTAGTTGTTTAACGATTATGATAATTTTTTTAATGTTGCAATTATGACATTGTCTTCATTTAGCCTAAAAACAAGCAGCCAAGCATAACCTCAATTTCGAAAATCCAGTGAAAACTTGGCATCAGTTCTTAGCTTTTCATCAATTTTAAGTTTTTTCATTTCAGTTTTTGTTTCTCACCTTTTGCGCATAAACACCCAACAGCCCAGAGAAATTGTAAGATAACTAGAACAAAACAAAAAAACAAGAAAAATATAACAAGCAGCAATATTACTTGGTGCTCTGAGCATCTAAAACCCAGTAAGAAGTACTGATATCAAAAATATCAAAGAGAGCTGACCAAACCAAGAGCTGTAAAAGATCATACTAAAAATTTTTGCATAATTCATATTTTTATCTAGAGAAAGGCTTTACGACATAATCCTTGAGGTCAAAATATTTGATCATCTGAATGGATGCATTCAGAAAACAATGAATAACTAAAAGACAATCATTTGTATAAACTGGAAGATGACATGAGGGTGAGGACTGGTGCTTTGCAGGAATGAAGTCCAAATCTGAGGAATATTGTTTTTGTTGCTTACAACAAATCTAATAATTTGAGATAGGGTAAAAAAAGGCACTATAACGTACTGAGAAGTAAATAAAAATGAATGAACATATCTCAATGCACAAGAAAACTAAGATTGATTTTCCACACAGGATTCACCATTTAGGGAAGGAAGACAGGGTAACAGAAACTAACAAAAAACCAACATATAACAGCACTCATTAATAAAGTCAGATTATCAATATCAACCTGGAGCAGACCCTGGGTAGTGCATGGAGCATATGAAAGTGATGAGACAATCCATTCCCGAACAATTTTTTGGTATAAAGAGCGAACAGTTGATGCCCAAGCAGGATCACTCACAACGGTTGTATTAGCCATGTCATCATGAACAGAAAAAAGCAGCGAATCAAAACAAGATGAATTCCATAAAACCTGCATGCATGTTGTTCACTTGTCTCATAAATGTGCACAGAAAATTAAAGAGCACTAAGCACCAGAAGAGAAGGAGATCACCAACGAGACTTACCTGAGGAAATTTATCTCTAAGCTGAGTCAACAAATTCACAGAAATATCCCGAATGTGTTCCTCCCTCTGTGACATACTTTTGATAAGAAAACATGCATGTGCAAAAAGAGTTGATTCTCTGGTCTCAGCGTTATTGCCTGTTTCAGTTATTCTGTCTTCCTGAATAGAGAGAACAAAGAGATTGGTAAAGTTCATATAATAATCATAGTTTTTAAAAGCACTAGGCACACTAAAGCTCTAAGGTCCCTGAAGCCTATATGCAAAGCACACACATTTCCTAGCAGAATTTATAAAAATAATGAGGAATGCTAGGAACACTCTACTTTGAGCACTTTTCACATGAGCGGGCCACATGCACATAAATTTAATGTGATTGGTCAAAATTTTAACTTTAATGTCAAACCCTAATCACCAATCACATTAAATCTTTGTGACACATGGCCCAATCATGTAGAGAGTGTCCAAAGTAGAGTGTTAGAGAGTGTCGTCTAAAATAATTAATCCTAGGCAGTCAACAAACAACAAAACAATACATAAGAAAACATAACAAAGCAATTCAGAGCATGCTAGCAGTGTGCATCAGAGGACTAAAGCAATTCAAGTTTCCAGATCAATGCTTAAACTCTAAAATCCAAATCTACTATCATTTTAACGCCCTCTAAAATCCAAATCTACCATGATTTTAATGCCTGATGTGGCGCTTCTTCTCCAAAAGAACAGATGAAATCAATCTGGGTTTTCAGTTTTGGAAGGTGAAGTTTGGATCCCTGGTGCATGAAGGATCCTCAAATTGCCATTCTGGCTGAACTCCCATAGATTGTTGGTTGGATTGATTTTGCCCTGACACCTCCCACTTAGTCACAATTAGTCAGCTGACTGACTAATCATGACTTTTGCAACACTGCCCTCATCCTCATCCACAAGTAAAAATAACAATCATCATCATCCAAAAAGTGAAAAATGATAGCTTCTATCGCCTTCATTGGTTCCCCCACATCAATTACTTCTGCTTACAGACCAAATTGAAGTTCACACATCACAGCAGTGATTTTTAGGACTTATATGTGATGCTGTGAGGGTGAAATTTCATACAGGGAACTATTTATGAGAAAAGGACCAATTTATAAAAGACCCATAACCCATCAATTAAAGTTTTATTGGAAAATGTTGTCCTCTCCTGTATGGTAACCTATGCAGTAACATACTTCTTGTATTTCAAGACTGGAAAGTGGACTTCTTTCTTTTCATGTGTTTGTGTAGGTGGTGCTTATTAAGCCATCATTACTCAAAAAGGACAGCAAATTGAATAAATCACAATGGATTAAATTGTTTTAAGAAAGTTTACAAAAATAAAAGCTATCCAAAATTTTCTGATGATTATCATGTTCAATAGGAGAATAAAACAAACTAAAAAAGAAAAATGCTTAAAAAGCTTCCCAAATAATGAAGAACTACCAGCCAGGATACTGCTGTTTCAAATGCCCTGTGCACAATTGCCTTCAAACACTGGAAGACAGCTGGCATTAGATTTGAAGTTTTCAAGTATTCAAAGACACAACCAAAGGCACTTCTAGAAGCTGTCACAGCAGTGCAACCATTAAGAATGCCACCATTACTGCTGAAACGAATTATCTCTAAGAAAGCTACCGCAAGAAGATAGTTTGCCTTGACACCTGTAGAGCAGACACAAAACAACAATGGAGACAACTAGATGTGTAAATTGACAGAATAAGACCAAAATATAAGAATAATTAACAGAAACACCATAGATAGAGAATAGGCATCCAATCCAAACACAAGGCTCAAAGAATCTTGTGACACCTGAAATTGTGTTCATTGCAGCAACATCAACCTGCCCACCTAAAGCAGCAGAAAGAGCTACTCTCTGGTTGACAGCTACCTTTTCATTGCCACTCCCTTGACGACTGCCAGGATTGTGGAGTGCATTTAGTTCCAACTCATCTTCAAGCCATTTTACTGAGCTGACAACCTACAGAAAAAGAAACAGGTCCAACCATGAATAGAATTTAATAAGTTTCAGGGTAATCATTACAAACTACATTCTACAGAAATCTTGTCTTTTTTTTTTTTTTTTGTTCTTTATTTTTGTATTTAGAAACATTGTTCTAAATCCAGAAAGTTACTTTATGTACAACTACATTCCCTAAAATCATTAAATCAGCCTTCACACAGATGTACAACAGCATCAGAATACACTAACGAGGCCTACGCAACTAAACCTCCCTAACCAAGCATAAGAAAGTAAACTTCACTCAAGCTTTATACAAAAACTTCCTGCTAATAATTTCAAAACATGGCTGTGGTGTTTATGCAGAATGATAAGAACCAAGCAATGGTGTGGAGTACACAGGGATAAACTGACTCTATTACACCAGAAACAACATCACATTGTGTCAGATCTAAAGTTCTCAAGTCCCTTTTCAACATTTGGATCATCTAAAAGTATTTTATCCAAGACTTCAAGAAATTAAACACATCAAGCAGTCAAACCATCGGTAGCACAGCACTCCTGTGCCTAATAAGATAATCAGATGGAGGATAAAAACTCAAACTTTATTAAATTTTCATTCTTTTGCCAACTGTAAAAGAAATTCAATCAGGAATGTCCAAATGATCTGGAGCAATTTATTTTCAAAAAGAGAACTGACACAATTACCAAAATCTGCAGGATGTATCCAACAGAATAGAAGTGAAATCGCAAAGTAGGGAGGCTAACCCCCAAACTGGAGAGTTTGTTAAGTTTCCTTTACCTTTCCCTTCTACAATAGCACCTAATACCTATGTGGCTATGAGATCATCATACTTCAATCTTGGAGTTGGTACAAAATCCTTTCTGTATACACATAGGAATCTATACAAGGAGAGGGACACATTCTTCATCCTAGAACCATTAGGAGACTCCAGCCAGTCATAGCTTCAAGGAATTCAAGTATTCGGTTTACAAAAAACATTCATAAAATATGGAGGGAGATTCAATGAAAGCTAGTAGTAGAATGAAATCAAACTTTCATAGTTCCACAGTACAGGCTTTTAATTGCCATGAACAGTACTCCACCAACTAAAGAAAGCTACTTATAGTCCACAAGGCAACTGTTCCGCATCTACTTACTAGGTTTTACTTCTAAAAGATGTGAAATAGGCAAGATTTTTGTGTTTTATTTCCTGTCTGTACATAAGATTTCTGCATTCCTTTGCTGCTATTAATTTAAGCAAGGAAGTAAAATGAAATGAAGACTATCTAAGTTTATCTCAATTGTGATTCTTTTCTGGCTACTCCCAAAACCTCTCCTACAAATCAACTATGCAATTTTTCATGAAACCTAATAATGAATCCCATTGCCATCTAACATTTGACACAAATTCTAGCACCATTTAGCAATTGAGGATCCACCATATTAAAACCATTTACACTTCACAGTTTTGTCCTACTTCTCATACCAATCATCAGAATTAACCTTGCAATCACTAATGTCATCTAAACATGGATGGCTTAAGATTTCTTGGCAGAAAATGGAACAAACCAAACAAGAAAGTGAAGTATAGAAGTTTGAGCAAGAATTCTTCAAGATCAACTTACAAGGGGAGGAGTGCCTTGAGCAATACGCTGGATGGCAGAAGACCATAGTGCATTCCACATATATGGGCCCCCAACTGCTTGAATGGCAATATTACCCATGCTTCCTGCACTGTTCAATGAAGTGGAAACTGATTTTGCTGGTGTTTGAACCTTCTGTATGGGAGGTGCTAATCCAAAGAGGGCAATATAGAACCACAAGTTGCGAAATAACTTCAGAAGTGATGGTTCAATGTCTGTAGTTGGATCAAAATCAGAACATATTTCGGCAACAGCAGGAAGTAGAGGGCCAAGAAAATCAGCTCCACTCCTGCCAAAGGTTGAACATCAAATATAAAAACTCTACAAATATATCACAAGGACAATAACAAAGGGATTTAGAAAGTAAGATATAAGCACAGAATCAGAAGCGCACGTGTAGTGACATCAATAAATCAGATTAGGAAAAACAAACTAAAAACAGGCAAGAGGATCCCATTAATGGGCAAATAATTTTTTGAAACAGAAACCAACCTTCCACTCTTGGACTCAGCAGCTAGGCCTACGTCAGAACACAGAGATAACAAACGATGGCGAAAGTCTGATCGCAACTTAGCACTCTTGAGATGAGAGGCAATCAAAAGAAAGCCCGCAGGAAGAGTCTAGGATGTGATTGAACCAGTGAGCATTGTATTGATAAGAAAATTATAAAGCAACCAAAATAACTAATACTTATGCACATTCAGAATAATGCACACCTCAACACGTTCAGTAATGGCTTCAGGTGCCATAGTTTTACTTTCAGCAGAACCAACATTTGATAATTTACTCAAGTAACTCCTTGTCATCAGAACAACAGTCTCACGATATGACTTCTCAAAACCTAAACTAGCCATGCGAGATACAGCATCAAGAAGCTGCATTAAATTGAGAGTTCAAAAGAGAAATTTGAGGAACTACATGAGCAAATCAAGAGAAGCAAAAGCTATAAGATAACTGTTTCAGCTGGATTAATAATATAGACATGAGGCATATAAGAATAGATAGATGGATTTAAAATTCACAGTTAGAAAATACAGCTCCAGAAAGAAGGTCACATACTCGGAGTCGCAGTAGACTAGGAGTTGCACCATCACCCTCCTCTAAGATCTCAATAAAAAGAGGCAATATCATGTCCAACACCTCAGACTTGCAGATAGCCACATTTAAATCAGCTAATAGACGTATTAGATTAAGCTGCACAGCAGGCACTGCCTGCTTCTCTTTATCAACCTGAAATTTCCATGAACATGTAAATACATAATGAATGTAAATTCTAAAGGCATCAAATAAAAAGAATAATTGCTAATTGCAAGCCATGCATAAAAAAAATATTCACATATCTAGTGACTAACATTATAGCCTTAGTGGCTTACTGAGTAGGCACAGGCACAGATTGCATTAAAATTACCATATCCATCTCAAATGACAATAACAAAATAAACCCCAAGATGCAAGTGTAGAACACTAGCTAAACTTTAGACAACTAAAGACAAAGCTGAACAAATAAATTCTACTATTTCAAATCAAGCCTAAAGCATACTAGAAATGAGTATTAGCATCCTCCTTCAAGGACAATTAAAGAAATTATATGCAAAGCACACACAGTAGTGTGGGTAAATGCCACATATGAATTCGTTACAGCTAATCAGAGGATAGAGGTATCTTCCAACCTGCTCATCAAAATCATTTCTCTCACGGATACTTGCAGATAATCCAAGGATGAATGTATCCACAGGAGCTCGGTCCTTTGTCCAGCCAGATTCAATTATCTGACAAGAAGTTTTCAGGACACTCTCATACATGGCTCCCTGGCTACTGCCCCAAGTATCAGCCTGTTAAACAATAAATAGAAAACTTTACCTAGAAAATTTTTCAGATAAAAAACCTAAAAGTCAATGCAAATATGGACCTGTAAACATGCTGTCAGCACAAGGGGTTTGAGACGAATGAGCAAAACACGCAATGGCTGTCCTCCCCCAGTGACAGCAACTTGCGCAATGCCAGAAAGTAGGCAACTGAACAGCTCCTCACAAACTCTCAATTTTCTCCACACAGAGAGCAAACAGGATTCAGCAGCATCTATCAGCAATGCAAGAGCCCCAAGAACCAACCTCTTTGAAGTTTTACTGTCGGCATCAATACATGCAAGACTCTTAATTTTCATTCTAGCAGCAGCTTGATAAAGTGATAACTTTGCGTTGATTCTGGCTTTTAAAAGTGACCCTTGCTCATTCCAGTCCCGCTTCCTTATCTGGCCACAAGGTGAACAATCATATGCCCATATCAATTTCGTTATCAACTTGTTTTGTTAAGTTCAATATTATTAATCTGTAGTCTCATCTTTGTTACAAATTTCGAATAAGTTCCCTTTGCAGTACCAGTTACCTACTCTTCTTTTTTTTTTTTTTTCCCAAAATAAACAATGGGATCAATCATTTACAGCCACTTACCTTTAGAAAAGCAGACATAGACAGAAACTGCTTCTTTGCAACTAATCTCACTTGCTCCAGAAGTTTTTGATCAATGTGCACTGTTTGCAGTATGTGAGCAATCAATTTGAACGCAAACTCTTGCTTCTCCAAGCTCTCAACAGACTCTTCCTCAAACAAAGCAACCTGGTGCCTAGAGATAGAAGCACCTCCATCATTGAACCCAAAATTCACATTACCTAGCTGATCAGCCCCACTCTTCCAATAAACACTCCCTCCATTTGCCACTGTAGACCCTCTCAAGCTCTCATTGGCTGGGCTTGCACCCTCATTTCCCTGAAAATTCGCACTCAATGGCGAGCTCTGAGATGAAGACGTCTCAGAATTCACAGGAATTTGTTCCTTTGGCGATGCAGGGACTGATATTGGCAATTGATCAAGAAGGCACGTTATCATTGTTTCAGCATCTGACGACGAAATTGGTGGGAAATTCTGCGACAATGCGGACAAGAAGGCCCTCCTAATCGCCATATCATTTCCATCGGCGTCATTGTTATTAATCACGTCCAAAACCACCTCCCCCATGATCCCACCAATCTCCGTGGCAAAATCCGGAGACATTTCCCCGCACGCCGATACGTACACTAAGAAATCAACGTAAAACAACGCGATCGCTTCGACTCCGTACGACTGCGGCCAGAAAGACCGACGAAAAGACGACGGAACAGCTCGGAGGAACTCAAGCACCACCGATTTGACCCGATTATCCGTGTAATCAGGACACTTAGAGAGGAACCGCGCCACGGCGAGAACCGCATTGAGCTGGGACCGCGAAACCCTAGGCGATCCGACGAGCAAGGACTCCGGCTGCGGGCACCTTCCGCAAATCCAGGCGAGCTTATCGGCGAATTGCTTGGGGTTTTTGGCAATCAGGTCACAAAGCTCCACCAATGCCTCCATTGGTGCGGAACAAAACAAAATTCACAAAACGGAATCCAAATCTCACAGCGAAGATTGGCAGATTCATAAATCAAAAACACATGGAGAAGGAACAGTGGTGGAGAAGGTGATGTCGCGGTGGTCCAGCTGCCATTGTTGTTTCTCTTCTCCTCATCTCTGATTTTTTTTTCATTTTTTCTTTTCTTGAGGTTCAGTTATGTTACTGTGTGTTTTGTGATGTTTTCAAAGCGAAAATGCAGTTTGTGGTTCGGTCTGGCGCCTGCGTCTCGGATCTTCTTTTCTGCATGTTTATTCCCGCTGCCCTCGCTCTATTTATTTGTTCCTTATCGCGTGGGAGGCACGTGTTCACGTTTGTGGAAAATCACGTGGCTTTTAACCTGCCA